GCACCATGGGCTAGTGTATTTATAGTAATTTCAAATGTTTCGTCTTCAGGAGATTACGATTCGGAATACTTTACGGTTCATCAAAGGTATTTCTAATGGACGGTGAAATTTTTTGTTTAAAATTACCTACCAACTTGGTCCACGAAAAATTGTATACTCCAAAAAAAACCAAAGGAAAATCCAAATAGATACAAAATCTGAGGTGTTCAATTTGAAAAAATGAGCTACCTTGTACAGACAACACAGAGAATACAATAAACTTCAAAACTATGACATATGATGCTCATTTTGGAGAAAAGCTTGCTACTCTGTATGTAAAAGTGACTGACAAGATGTCAAAGTTCGGTGTTTGTGCTGGATTGAATATCCAGTAGCTCCAAAAGTAGCGTACCAGGCTCTATAATATGCATATGAAGCTTCGTACATCCAGAACTGCCCGATATGACCGCTCCTTTGTCCCTGGGGTCTTGAGTTTGTAAAACAATCTGCCTGATGAGGCTTTTATCGGTTATACAGTTAACAACCTCACTCAGTTCAAAAGTCGAATTTACAAGGTTGCGATAAGCTACCTATAGCAGCCACGGTGCTCTGGTATTTAGGCTTTTGCCTGCGTAGATAAAAAATACAGGGAATGCCATTAAGTAAATGCATGTTTGTGTTGCCACGCAGTTATGAATCACGCTGTGGAGACCGGTGTTATTTCCAGCTCACGAGCCTATAGTTACCCCCATTTTCGACCCGACTTATCAAGTATTTTCAAACATGTCAGTGTCAATTAGTATAAACTTCGTTTTAGAAGTTGTATGGTTTTTATAATAACCCGACAAGTATGTCCATCACCAAATAGTGACTAAGCAGCATACGCCACAGCTTATCAAAATAACATCTAAGAAACTGTTCGTCATCGCGAATCTCTATCTCCTCATCGAGATAAAGCAGCGCCAAGCGCCAAAACGAGCTTCCGCTGCAAAGAATCCTCTAATTAATTCTTGAATATAATTCCAGAAACCGGTAAAGAGAAGCATAATCTTTCAAAATTCGGGATTTCCGTTTTAATATTTCCCGTCTTAAATTAACATTATAAAATCCCTTCATGAGGGCTGAAGTTTAATTAAATACCCTCAATGAAATTGCGTAAAAATTTCACCAAAGCAGATGCCACAGGAAAAACGTTATTGTTGTTGTGGGAAAAAATTAGCTGCGGGTTTGCCACTGAGGAGTAACTTATTTTTGGTTTAATATTTATATTAATGGAAGTTTTGTGTCTTGATATAGACAGTTTTTGTTTAGCTCATGATTTAATGTAACTTTTGAAACATCTTATTCCAAATGACATGCTTATTTTTTCAATTTTGTTCCTAGTCGAAGAAGTATATTGTATCGGTACTAACAGATGTTTGTTTTAAAATTGATATACCAATATATTGAACGAAAACAATTGCCGAAGGTCTAGAGCATTGATTCCCAAAGTGGTCTATATCGACCCCTAGGGGTCTATGACAACCTGCAAGGGGTCAACGAAAAAAAAATTGGGGGTCCATGAAATGAATATGGGGGTCCACGATAGTGGATCTCAACACATACAACTGATAGTACCTATTTACTTACATCATACTATCTTATAATATCAAAACATATACATTATTTATAAAAGTACCTATGAAGTAAAAAATTTATTATATATGTTTATAAAATTGTGTAAGTTGTAGGATGTTGGTATTCGCTTTGTGGTCGCAATACATTTTGAACTTGTAAAATCCTGAGAGTCGCAGTCTCAGAGCTTCGCTACCTTGCACTGACTTGTTCAATTCGTCACTCTATAAATACGAATGTGGGACAAATACGTTTATTCGTTTCCTGAATCTTGAAAATTAAAGTGCTAAGAAAATATTTTAAAAAATATAAACAGATAGTATCACACATTATAGTGAGTCAGTGTTATTTTGTTTGAGAGTGCTGGAAAAAAGTAAGTACATTACTTTTTATTAAATTTTAGTTTTTACTCGTAGTTAGCAAAGATAGATAAATTACGCCAATCGTGACTTCAGTTATTAGTAGTTAAATATTCAATCATGCAAAATTACACAAGTACTCCTTAATAGCTTCTTTTTGAAAGTTTTAGCAATCGGTAATATAATTACAGTCCGTAATTCGAGCTAATTGTTGCAAGAAGATGTTCGAATTATGGAATGTTTTCGGAAAAATCAAAAAATATTTTTAATATACAGCTGCTGGATTTTCTGTCTTATTTAAATAATTTAATTTTGCCCACAGATGACTGATGCCATGTCCGAATCTAAAAAGAAATTTAGACAGTACAGTGTTGATTATTTGAAATTTGGCTTCATTCCATCATTGCCGGACAAACAATTGCCTACGTGCCTTTTATGCAACAAAGTTTTGGGCAATGACGCTATGAAACCATCTAAACTGCAAGATCATCTGAGAAGATGCCACCCTGATAAAACAGAGAAAGATTTGAAATACTTTCAAACACTCAAAGATAAATTTCAGAAGAGACCTACACTGGACAGAATGTTCGCTTCGACGTCACAAAGAAATGATGATGGTTTGCGGGCGTCTTACAATATCTCGTTACTTATAGCAAAATCCGGAAAACCGCATACTATCGGAGAGAAGTTAATTATCCCAGCCGTTGAAGAGGTTTTAAAAACTGTTTTACACAAACCTGCATCTGATATCATTAAAAGAATTCCCTTAAGCAACAATACTGTTGAAAGACGTATTGATGAAATGAGTTCTGATATTGAAAGCTCCTTATGTGATTATTTGCAAACGACCCATTTCTCTATACAACTGGACGAGTCAACTTTACCTGACAATGCAGCATTATCATTGGCTTATGTTCGTTTCATTATGAATCAAGAAATCTACGAAGAACTGCTCTTCGCAAGAACTTTGATAACCGACACTAAAGGTGAATCAATATTTCATGTTTTGAAGGATTACTTCATTGAAAAAGCAATTCGTTTATCAAATATAATATCAGTAGCTACAGATGGAGCACCTGCCATGGTTGGACGTTATCGTGGATTTATAAGCTATTTAAAACAAAATGTGTCAGGGGTGTTAGCAATACATTGCGTCATCCATCGACAACATTTAATTGCTAAAAATTTGAGTGTTAGATTGCATGAATCACTTCATTTAGTCATTGATGCAGTAAACCGAATCCGAAGCAACGCGTTGAATACGCGGTTATTTGCGCAATTGTGTGAAGAAAATGACGAACACGTTCATCAATTACTCCTTCACACTGAAGTACGCTGGCTGTCGAAAGGCTTATGTTTGACAAGATCTTTTGCACTTTTTGACACTATTTTAGAATTTCTGGATACTAAAGATAGAATTTTAAAAGAAAATTTAATGAAGAGGAAAACAGGCATCGCCTATTTAACAGATTTGTTTACAAAATTTAATATGGTTAATTTGCAATTACAAGGCGACAGTTTAAATTTGGTTAAAACAAAGTCCATCTTATCAGCGTTTCTTGCCAGAGTTAAACTAATGAAGCAAAATATTGGACGGGGCAAATTTTCTCAGTTCCGCAATTTGTCACAGACAAGCTGCCAGGAAGACGACGTTTCAACTTACGTTCAACATTTAAATGCCCTCTATTCAGATTTTGAATCTAGGTTTGAGGATATTTTGACTACGGTAATACCACCGTGGATAATTAATCCATATGGTGACATAGAAGAAACGAATGTCATAATACAAGAGGAACTGACTGAACTAAGTACAAACGAAGAACTTAAGGTTCAGTTTAAAAACAAATATCAGCAATTCTGGCTGCAAAACAACATACCCGTTACTTATCCCGTATTATGGAATATAGCGAGGAAATTTTTAATTTCCTTTCCATCGTCATACCTAGTGGAAGGGGGGTTCAGCGCTGTTACCAATCTCCTAACGAAAAAAAGAAACAGACTGGACATCATTAGCCGAGGAGTTTTAAGATTAACCCTTACAAAATTGACGCCAAATATTGATAATTTATTATTAAAGCATCAGGTTCATCCTTCTCACTAAAAATATTGACTTATTGCTTATGTTATTTTATTTATAGTTTATTTTATGTTTATTGGTGCCTGACCAATAAATGCCCGCATTGGGAATAAGTGCCCGCATTGGTTTTTTTAAAGAACCCCCCTTTATAGAAAATATTTTTTTTAAATTATTCTGAAAATTCAAGGATAGGTACACACTTAAATTCGTTAATTTTTTGCCTATTTTTAGATAACTTAAACGTATAAGAAGCGGAATTTAATCAAACTGACAGTGATATTTTTGTAGAACATACGTTTATGTTATAATTAATAAACGAACTCGCTTATTGTACTATTTTAAGTAAAAAACTTTTTTCTCTATTATTTTTCACTTTTTTTTATCTTATCCCTCTTATTTTTTTTTCAATGCGGGCACTTATTCCCTATGCGGGAACTTATTGGTCAGACACCTGTTTATTTAATGTTACGTATATTTAACATAACATATACAAAATTTTATTTTGAGTAGTTTTAATTTAAATTCAATAAATTAATAAATGTATAAATTAACATGTGTTTTTACTTTAAGTTTTTAATACTAAACTTCACTACAGTTAGAAATTTACAGGAAATCGATATCAGGTAAGTAGGGGGTCTACCCAACACGGAAAAACATGGCAAGGGGTCTACGACACAAAAAAGTTTGGGGAACACTGGTCTAGAGCTTCTGCATCTCTATACAGCTGAACTGACGGATAAGGTCTATTTCTATTATGAATTATTTTTAAAAACTGTTTTTCTAATACCTCAAGTTTTGCTAAGTGAACGGTTAGAGCTCCATCCCAAGCTAATAAACCATATCACAATCTAGACTCCACGAGAACTTCGTAAATAATTTTCATGGTATTTCGATAAATACATAGATATTTTATTTTGAATAACATACGTCTCAAGTTCAAGGTATCAGGTAACCAAATAAGTTCGTGGGGTTTTTAGCAGAAAAATATAAATTTTTATTAAGATTATTGTTTCTACTATTTATTCGTCGAAGTAATTACCATCACACTCAACGACCTTTTGTCAACGTGGAAATTTTGTCTCGGGTCACTTTTGCTGTATGAGGCATGGCGTTATCCTGCAAGAATATCCTTCCTTTCATCAACAATTTTTCATCGCAGGTTAATAACCGAGTAAGCAATGGGTCATTAGCGTTGCGTGAAATGTTTGCTGAACAAATGGTAAGACGGCTTAATTTGTTATCATTTGTCAGTTCATGTGCGACTCATTTGATTAACTTCCACGTCTTTCCTAGCTGATAAAGGTGCAAACGAATAGATTCAGGACTCATTCTGAACATTTCTGCAAGTTCTTGGCACGTTGACCTAGAATTTGCATCCACAACCTGTCGAAGATCCTCGTTGTTCATGATTTTTGGTCTCCCTGAGCGCGGTTCATCGCTCAAACTGAGATCTCCTGAAGAAAATTTTTTGAACCACTTCTGTGCTGTTCGATCACTAACGGCATCATCTCCGAATGCGGTACCAAGTTTCTACTCATACAGTAAACAACTTCGAATTACTGTTTTATTTGTCGCCATTTCCAGTCATGTAACAATTTTCAGCAAATTTTTAGTGTTTGAGACAAGAAAGATTCATACTAAAGTAACAACCAATCGCTATCGATCAACAACATCCAAGGCAATGTGCGATATACAGCAACCGCACGAACTTATTTGGTTACCTGAAAGTATGATCAATATGATAAATGTGATAAAGGTTACGACCATATATTTGATTTTGTTGGTAGATTCTATTTTAGTGATTTCGCGAGTACTTTCTGGATTTTGTTTTATCTCAATAGTAGTATAATGAGGAGTCCTTCTTTTATCATTGAAAAACGGATAGACATCGTTTTTTAGTAATTTATTTGAAACCAACAAGAAATTGTAATGAAATCCTTTTCTACCTTCTCCTTAAGATTATACCACGTCGATTCATTTGAATCAAGAATAGCGATGTCATCAGCAAAACAAACGACAGCTCTCTTTATTTGTAAATCTAGTAAGCTGTTCATTTATAAATTCAACACACTGAGTGACAAACAAAAGTAAGCACCTAAGTATGTTTATCCGATCAAAGTGACTTAGCTGGGACACCTGGCAAATTATACGTACTCACAAGAAGGATTCTCAATAAACTACACGAATTTTAATATTTAACTGACACCGTAAATGTACGAAAACTGGATGCTTCTTTATCACCAAACAGTACACGCGGTCACCACAAAAACTTAGCAGAAAGACCATTTTATCACTTTTTGTTCATCATCATCATTTTTGTTACCAGTATATTTGTTCAATAAAACATACCACTAGTTAATTACCAGAGAATCAAAGAAATAAATCTTAGGTACATTCTAAAATTAAAATACAAATCTTAAAAAAACGCTGTCTTAATTTTAACCAGAAACGAGACACACACTTTATTAGTAACTAGAACAAGGCAGTAATATTATTATACTAAGTGACATATAAATCCGAACACCCAGTTTAAATGGTTTTATTTTAATAAAATTTTGTATAAGTACTTAATGAAGCATAATAAGTAAATGATAAAAATTTCAAAATGATTGCACTGCTTTAAAGCCCTTTGACCTTTAATAATGTGTGGATGCACCCTGATGTGCTACGCATTCTACAACGCGCCTAGGCATGCTTCTTATCAGGTGGTCAATGTCCTCCTGTGGTATCTCATTCCAGGCTGGAGTGATTCTAGAGTCTGAGGAGGACGTTGCAAATTGAGCAATCTCCTACCCATCATATCCCACACGTGCTCAATTGGGGATAAGTCGGGAGATCTTGGTGGGCATGGTAACAATGTGACATCATTATGTTGAAAGAAGTGTATTGTGACTCTTGCAACATGTGGTCGGGCATTATCTTGTTGGAAAGTTGAATCTGCCAGGGTGTCAAGATAGGGTAGAAGATGGGGTTCTAGAACTTCGTTGATATAACGCTGCGCGTTCATGTTACCTCTGATGAAGATTAAAGGTGACCTGGAACCATAAGCTATAGCACCCCAAACCATAACTCCAACAGTGTGATGAACATGTCTTTCAACAAAAAACTGTGGATTCCTCCTTTCACCACGTCGCCATCTAACCCTGGCATGACCATCGTGCATGCCTAAACAAAATCCAGACTCGTCACTAAAGACAATACTGTTCCATTCCTGATCCCAGAGTGACCGTTGTCTGCACCACTCAAGGCGATTACGTCGGTGTTCTCGAGTTAAAGGGAGGACCCAGTGTGGCCGGTATGAAAACAAGCCAAAACTTCTCATTCGTCGGTAAACACTCCCCATGCCAATAGGTCTTCCGTGTTCTGCAAACCATTCATTTGCAATGGACCTGGTAGTGGAGAAACGGTCCCTTAAGGCCAATAATCTTAGGCGGCGATCTTCACGGTCTGTTGTTCTACGGCGGCGTCCAGTGCCCCTTGCTCTTTGCGTACGGCCTTCTCGAAGCCATGCCTGACAACACCTAACCACAGTGTCTACACTTCTTTGCACTCTAACTGCAATTGCCCGAAAAGAAAGTCCAGCTTCCCGAAGTCCCACTATACGGCCCCTATAAAACTCACTAAGTTGACGAAATCGTACAGGTCTCCGTACTCCAGGCATCATAACCGATCGTAAAGGATGTCAAGAACCAAAATCCGCCAACGTTGATTCTTTGCTGCGGCTGAAATATTCATTTTTAGAGCGTTAGTGAAATAAAAAAAAGCAGTATAAAAACCGGAATGTCCAACTGATAAGGCTGAACATTTTTTCACTTGTTGTTTACAGTAAGATAAATACATTCACCAACTTTCATTAAAATAAAACCATTTAAACTGGGTGTTCGGATTTATATGTCACTTAGTATATATTACCAGCGAGAGCGTAGTAATAAATAAAACGGACTATGAACAAAAAATTGAGCATCTCCTAGAAAATGGAACATACACTATACTTTATAAAAGGTCCAACAAATAGCATCGAGAATGAGGAATACAAATCGTTTTGTGGTCATTCAAGCAAACCACCACATTTATATGGACTTCCTAAAATATATAAACCGAGTATCCCGTGGACACGACTAGTAATCTGAATTAACCCACCGGCAGCAAAATTGGGAAACACTTGTTTACTATTATAAATCCATTAGCATACTAAACAGAGTCGTACATAAAAAACAGAAAAGACTTTTCAGAGAAATCATCCAACGTCCAGCTTAACACTTATCGTTATAAAGGTAAGTTTTAATGTCCAAAAGCTTTTCACTAATGTAGCAGTTGATAAAGCACTCAAGTACACCTAAAAAACCAAAACGTACAAAACTGAAACCAGAAAGTAAAATATACTAAGTGACATATAAATCCGAACACCCAGTTCAAATGGTTTTATTTTAATAAAAGTTGGTGAATGTATTTATCTTACTGTAAATAACAAGTGAAAAAATTTTCAACCTTATCAGTTGGACATTCCGGTTTTTATACTGCTTTTTTTTAATTCACTAAGCTCTAAAAATGAATATTTCAGCCGCAGTAAAGAATCAACGTTGGCGGATTTTGGTTCCTGACATCCTTTACGATCGGTTACGATGCCTAGAGTACGGAGACCTGTACGATTTCGTCAACTTAGTGAGTTTGATAGGGGCCATATAGTGGGACTTCGGGAAGCTGGACTTTCTTTAAGGGCAATTGCAGTTAGAGTGCAAAGAAGTGTAGACACTGTGGTTAGGTGTTGTCAGGCATGCCTTCGAGAAGGCCGTACGCAAAGAGCAAGGGGCACTGGACGCCGCCGTAGAACAACAGACCGTGAAGATCGCCGCCTAAGATTATTGGCCTTAAGGGACCGTTTCTCCACTACCAGGTCCATTGCAAATGAATGGTTTGCAGAACACGGAAGACCTATTGGCATTCAAAGTGTTTACCGACGAATGAGAAGTTTTGGCTTGTTTTCATACCGGCCACACTGGGTCCTCCCTTTAATTCGAGAACACCGACGTAATCGCCTTGAGTGGTGCAGACAACGGTCACTCTGGGATCAGGAATGGAACAGTATTGTCTTTAGGGACGAGTCTCGATTTTGTTTAGGCGTGCACGATGGTCGTGCCAGGGTTAGAAGGCGACGTGGTGAAAGGAGGAATCCACAGTTTTTTGTTGAAAGACATGTTCATCACACTGTTGCAGTTATGGTTTGGGGTGCTATAGCTTATGGTTCCAGGTCACCTTTAATCTTCATCAGAGGTAACATGAACGCGTAGCGTTATATCCACGAAGTTTTCGAACCCCATCTTTTACCCTATCTTGACACCCTGGCAGATCCAACTTTCCAACAAGATAATGCCCGACCACATGTCGCAAGAGTCTCAATAGACTTCTTTCAACATAATGATGTCACATTGTTACCATGGCCACCAAGATCTCCCGACTTATCCCCAATTGAGCACGTGTGGGATATGATGGGTAGGAGATTGCTCAATTTGCAACGTCCTCCTCAGACTCTAGAAGCACTTCGAGAGGAGTTGGTGGTTGCCTGGAATGAGATACCACAGGAGGACATTGACCACCTAATCAGAAGCATGCCTAGGCACGTTGGAGAATGAGTAGCACATCAGGGTGCATCCACGCATTATTAAAGGTCAAAGGGCTTTAAAGCAGTGCAATCATTTTGAAATTTTTATCATTTACTTATTATGCTTCATTAAGTACAAGTACAAAATTTTATTAAAATAAAACCATTTAAACTGGGTGTTAGGATTTATATGTCACTTAGTATACATCTACCCAATGTTTGCGTCAAATCAACGTACTTCCAGTGACATGACAAACATTATGAGCAGAATTTTTATATAAAATTAAACAATAATTGTCTTTCTAGTTCCTCTGTGGACTGTAACCCAAATTAGTTGAATATCCTTAAATGGAAGATATAATCGATATTCTCCAACCAAACTAATGGACCGTGAGTTTTGTATCCATGTTTTATTCTCGTAGTTATATCTGAAGTACAGTTTTTTGCATTTCAGCTCCATACGCAATGTATTTGCAACATTTTAGTCCAAGATTGCACAACAGTTAATCGATGTGCTACAACAGTAGTGGGTAGGTCTCATTGTTTTTCTTTGTGGGCTTTTGTCATCTTCGGTATTAACGACGCTCGGTAGTAATGTTAAGAAAATAGCAGTATCTAGCTAAGTAGTACTCTCAGATTTGGATCCGTTGATAGTTTTGATCGAGGTTGAACACAATATTGACTGCCAAGGACTTAAAAAGGAAACGGCAGGTTATACACTCCTGAGCATTTTGAATAAGTTGACTAGTCTAGACATTGCATTGGCCTAAAGAGCTGTGTACACATTCAACTATCAAAGTCCAAGTGACATTGATCATCAAGTCAAGTCATCGTTGGTTGTCAGAGCGGTCCGTGGGACCTTAGCTCTTGAGTCACAGTGTCAGTTTGTAAGTCTGTCAGGTCTGGTAACCCAGAAACCAGACAATTTTAAGGAAAAAAGGGGAAGGAAAGGAGAGAAGGAAGAACGAGAGCAAAGGGGAAGAAGAGAATCGTTTAGGATATGCAGCGTTTAGGCATTGTTAAAATCGCTTCGCAGATTTTGATATGGTCTAAAAATATTTGATTTTTTCTAAAGATTGTGTAAAAATGCTCAAATTTTGGTTGTTCTAAGTTCACGAGTTAATTTTGATTACAGTGCGAGCCGCGGCCTTTTGTGCTTGCGAACTTGCTCGACTGTGTAGTCCACTGAATCACGCAACAGAGGGTTGCTGTGCGATTCCGCTAGGCTATAGCGCCGCTGCGCCTGTTGCTTAATGTAGTCCTTTAGGTAAGGGACATCGAGGTCTCTATGTAGAGTTTC